ATCAAATCTCCATACGATGCGAAAGCATTCGATGTTCATTAAAGAAGTTAGTTTTATTTTCGCCTTGTAGGATTTCCTCAATTTTTACAAAAAGTGGACTTAGCAACTTTTCACTCTAAGCGATATGAATTGATTTATAGAGACTTTTTTCAATTATCGATAAGAACAGAGGCAGAAGGTTGTTAATGAATTCATTTAAATGTATTTTAACAAACTGTGTGTTTATGGAGATTTTTTTGCAATCACGACATACATGCATATGTGCATGCGCACACATCCATATGCATTTAAGTGGGTACCAAAAATATAGGCTTTATCTGAGTTGAAATTCTCCGATTCATTGTTTAATATTTTCTTACGCTCACATTTATTTTATAAAAATACGATTGTAAATTTCTGCTACGTTTTTAATAAAATCCGTCATTGCTTTGTTCTTGCGGGCATAGTTAGCAATCATCGGTAAAGATGTATACCTATTACTACTAAGTTTGAATAGATGGGTATTTAATATGTACATTTCAATTATTTACATTTGTGTACACAAATACTTATGTTATTCATTTATGCAAGCGACATCCGGACAAATTTCGTCTTATCTGCCTTTATCGATATGCTACACTGTACAATGAAATGGAATAAATCATTTATATGTATGTTTACGTATTGTACATTTTACATGTTTATGTATTATAATTTCCACATTCCAGTCAAACTGTCCAAATTTTATGTCCATACGTATTTTTCATATTTCGATCAACTGTTACGCGCTACGGGCATCATTAATTGTTGCTGGTACTTTAACAACCAGTCCATTCATGTCCTTTGTTAGTGTTATTTGGCAGCCTAGACGTGAAGTATCTGTGAGGTCGTATGCCAAATCCAACATATCCAATTCTTCATCGCTGGCTTTATCTGGTAGTTTTTCGAAATCCTCAGATGTAAAAATTAAATGGCAAGTGGAGCATGTCAAAGTACCCTCGCATGCACCAAAACCATCCAAATCGATATGATTATTTACCACCACATCCAGTAATGTGTCGCCCACCTTGCCCTTTGTCTCTATCTTCTGGCCGTTGGCGCGCAAAAACGTAATGTTCACACTTGGTATTAATTAATAAAATAGAATGAGTGTTACATATACATACAGCAAAAATCAATTAATTGTAACTTACTCTTGCTGCAGCTGTGTCCCAATGGAAAATGTGCGTAGGAACTGTTGATTCGTTATCACTGTCGTGTTGTTATTGGTTACACGCTGGCAGTAATCGAATTTGCTAAGGTTTTTCACTAGCCCTATTGATGTGTTACGGTTAATAACTTTCAAGGAGCACCTGACTAAATTTAGGACAAAAGCCATACTGTCGCGTCGTTAACGTTTGGAAGACTCACACGTATAACTGGTTCAATATCACAGTGAAGATACTTCTGCGCACTCTTGTGGCTATTTTAATCAATGTCGCACCTACACTGTTTTTTAATAAACGAAACACAACATCGGTAAAGGGAGTGCAATCACCTTAATTCCGAATCAAGTGCAAGGCGTAATGATTACGGCAGTAAATTGAAATAAAAAACACACATCTGCACACAAAGAAAGTTACAATTAAAAAAAATTACATTTGACAGCAGCACAGCTGATAGTAAAGGTGGCCAGAAGAAAGATATAACCAACACGTTCACTTTGGAGCCTAAATGTATGCAACGCGAATGAAACTTCCATACCCATGACAGTCGGGTCTACGTAACCGGAACGACCCAGATTTATATCTGGCCAAGGACTGTCACTTCAGCAACACTCCCCAAAACCCCTTTGGGGAACTTGTATGCTACAACAACAACAACAACAAACTTCCATACGTTTTTGTTGAAAATATTCTATTTGTCCATGTAAAAAACAATTCGGTACTTTACACAAATTTCTAATTGCCTTGTCCTCTAACTTGTGATGTGCGCTTTGATGGCCCACAAATGGAACAGGTGAAAAGTTAAGGGTTTTTTATATTTTATGTAATAAGGCTTGCCGACATCTGCCGAAGAGCGACCTCTATTAGCAAAAAAAACTTTTTTGGGATCTTGGAAGGGCCATGGAATAGATATTAATCAGAGCATGAATGCACCCTGAATGTTAACATGAATTATATATATTTATTTAGTAATAATTAATGTTTGCCCTTTATTTTTTTTTTTTATTTAATCAGCCCAAGCAATCCTGAAAGTACAAAAACAGCTGAGACGAAAGTGCTGCCAAGTTTGTATCTTTGTGTACATGACGATTGTTTACATTTTTTTTGCATGGACGCAGTTTATAAACATGTGCGATCTTTGGAATGAATTTGAGCTAAAAAAGCCGCCGCTTCTTACATTCCCTATTCCAACTAAGAGAGCTCCAAATGGTAAGCTTCAATTCAATTCCCTATAAGTTTTTAAATCCTTGCTAAGCACATTTCTTTCAGTACGACGCTTACAGGCTGCTATATATCAATACTTTCGGCAGCATCGTCCACAAGAGGTCGAGTTTGCAGAGACATCTGCTTTGCTAGGAAGGCTTATGGCACGCCGAAAGAACTCATTTCATGGCATGATGGGGTTTCGTGCTGTTGTTAAGTGTAATACAGCGACATGTCGACTGCTTCGCATCGATATTACACGAGAACTTGAATCATTTCAAGGCTCTTTGCCTGATTTTGCGCTCAACTCGTCCGAAACATTGGAGATGCCAACCCAGAACTGCTTTGACTATGTATTAGTACGTTTGCTGAATGTACATGGTATTTATGTTCGGATACGAGAGTGTTGCGTCCAAGCTGCAGAGTATTTTGCGAAATTAATGCGAAATAACTTTTTCATGGAAACAAGTACCCTACTATTGGCCGTGCTAGCCAAGTTGCACAATTTGAGTGCCGTATTGGGTAACAAATGTGTTGAGCTTTACAACCAATTGCAGCCTATGCGAAGGAGATTTCCTTCGGCGGGGCATAGTGTTCACCTAAACTATGACCTGCCAGAACAATTGGAAGCATTCTTGGAAAACCAGACTTTAGAAACCTCTAAGAGAGAAGGTGTATTATTAAAAGATGATGCGCCCTTGCAGGCAACACATACGCCTCTTACAGCTGTGCGCGCTATGAAACCTGTAAAATTTAAAAGGACTTCCGATGTGGGTGTAGAAGTGATCAGAGAATGTACGTTGACCTCTCAAATTAAAACTTTCAATGCGGATGTAGAATTGGCTACTATAGAGGCTGTAAAACGATTCATTGCAACTGAAAACGTAACAAGAAAGCAGTCTTTAAAGCAGAGTGTAACTAAGGATATATTACCCCACGAGTGGATTGGTGCTACGCGTCTATTTGAGCGCAAATTATTAGCTAACGAGCACAAGAAAGCTTTGAGTATATTCCGAAAATTTATTGTAAGCAAAGTTTCTTAGAATAAATTTTTAACGATCGAACGAACAATAATTGTTTGGCATTAAATCAATGGACCGCCCACGGTGGACGAAACAGTACGAATCACCCTACGGTTTTGTGGACGGAATTTCTGTAAAAAGTTTTTTTTTGAAAACTACATTTACCATGCTACTATAAGAAGTTGGGACTTACCTTAGTAAACTTTTTAAAGTTTTTAATATTTTTGTTGGAATCATTTTTTTCATTCTCATTGTCCACCACGCTCCTTATATCTCTTTCATGTAGTATAGACTTTGTGCTCACAACTGTTACAACGCATCCTCCTTTAATGGGTTCAATTTCTTTGCTATCACCCTCAACGCCAGAATCATTATTCTCTTTCTTTACAGCATCCACTTCATCTTTACATTGTTCCGCTTTGATGCTTAAAGCACTTAGTGAACAATCAAGCCAATCTGCGATGCTAACTTTAGCCGGCAATGGTTTCGGTTTTGGCATTACTATTTGGTTTATTTTATTTCTCGTTGCTACCGGCTCGTTCGATCTCTCAACATCAATAGCATCTTTAGAAGAACTTTGCTCATCAGCATCAGCTCCACCAAAGTCGAACAAATCCTCATCCGAGTCACAACCTCCGTCATCATTGGAAGGACGCGCACGTTTAGCATTATTTGTGTCGTCATTAGAAAGACTTTTTCCACCGAAACAAAACAAATCATCATCATCACTGTTGTCTATATCAGCAATGCGTGCGCGTTTTGACGCTTTCTTCGAAGTCTCATTGTCGGTTGTGGCGCTTTTGTCAGCCGCATCTTGCGCGTTAGGTACGCGTTGCGATTTCTCTAAGAAACCCGACATATCTATCACAGTTCTTCTGGTCGGGCGCTTATTGATCTCAATTGGCAACTGTTTAATAGCTGATTTAGGTGTTTGCTTTGCAATGGCGGCAGCAGATGTCGACGCAAGCTCATCAAGAGGTGAGTAAGTAGATCTACTTTGCTGCCTATTTTTACGTTCCACCGGTGAATTCGTATTCTCTTCTAAATGTGCCTTTTTAGCAGCAAAGTTGAAGAGCTCATCATCTTCACTATCCATTTGAGAAATAGCATTATCAGCTGTGTTTCCTTCCTTACCTCTTGTGCGCTTGCGTTTGTTGACCTCCTGGGCACTTTCGGTTACTTGCAGGGAAGACATGGCAGCATCACTTGAATTATTTTCTTCTGGTTGAAAATCTTGTGATTCTATGGTTACTGAATCAGTTTGTTCCACTCCTGACGCTGTTGATGCAGCCGGTGATTTGTCCGTCAAATGTGTGCTAGATGTACTTTTCTCAACAGTTTCGGGGATAAAAATTTCCGTTTGGTTGCTATCTAGTAGATCTGCAATATTAGAAAAGTTGGAAGAAGCCAAAACAGAAGACTGTGGCTCCTTAGATTCTGATAATTTTGAGGTAGAGGCTAAGTTGTCGTTTTCATTATAGCTTGGATTACAAAATTTTTCAATCGAACACTGTATAATTGCCAAACCGATCTCGAATTCAGGTACAGTGCGTCGCGAATGAAGTTTAAGACAATCTTGAAATGAGAGTAGTAAATACAAATGACAATGTGCGTAAAGCCCATTTTTTGTTTAACTCACCTTCAACTGTGTTAATAGTTTCTGAACTTTGTGATTCTGTAGATGGTACATACTGTATAACAACTACATCTTTCCTAACGAGAAAAGATTTTTGTACGCCCACATTTAAATGCTTACTTTTTCCACCAGCTTTCTCTACTATCGGCGCATACTTTTTAAAATGATGCGCATGGAGAAATACAAATGTTAGCTTGGCAAACAATTTCTTTCTTTCTTCACGATATTTTAAGTCGAAATTCTGAGGATTCGGTGGAGTATAAGCTTCCACTTTTGGTAATGATCGCCGACCACGACGCGCCGCCTGCACTACACTACACCAATAGTCGCAAGTCACAATTGGCCTCCGATCCAGTATTGCATGCAATAGTTTCGAGGACAAGTTTATCTCCGCCATTGTTAGATGGGTATATTCGTCGTCCCAGTCGTTCAAAATACAACCGCCGAGCACCTGTACATGTTGTTTCAACTGAATGATCTGATCGGCAGGCAAAATTGACAACGTAATCCGAGGAGTAATATTCAATACAGTCCAAATGTTTTTCAAAACACCAAAACGTATACGATCTCCTTCGGCTAGAATTATACGCTTTTGTTTCGGAATTCCCACGCCTTTAGAAATGCCGTCATTATGAAATGTGCCATATTTAGATCCCCCATCTTCAAGCTCCAGCATTTCTTTCACATGATTTCCATTTATACTTTCCCTATCGCTAATTTCTGTTGTGGTAATGTGTACGAATGCATGAGTACGACTTATTGAAGAATCGTCTGCAATTACCAGGTCCGCGCCAACGCGTCCGACAGTGTATTTGGACTTTTCGTTGATTACAATGAGCACATTTCCTTTTTAGAAAACAATAGATAAATCGTGTAATAGGTAGCTTTAATTGTGTACTTACCAGTAGTAACGTTTGTCAGAAGCCACATTCTTTGGTGAAATTTTATTATAAATGCAAAAATTAAGTTTTCCAAAGGACTCTGCCTGGTTTTCAAAAACAAGGTACGCACACATTTACATATGATTCGCCAGTGTAGCCAAATTCACAATTCGGTGACAGTTTAGTTAGGTTGGCAACGCGAATTATGTAGGTTTATTGGTAGCACGGTTACCAGTTGTTAAAAAATAACTAACCAAAATCTGAAGAAAAAACAACCAAATCGAAAAAAGAACCAAATTTGTTATTCACTTATTTGTTAAGAAAAGCAAAACTTATTGAAAAAAATCAAGAATAAAACCCTGAAAGATGCCAAATTTCGCACATGTTTCAAGCTTTGGAGGCTTTTTAGGGGTCGTCAGACAGTAACTCATTCGAACATTAATATTGGTGAATATGATTATCGCAATGGTGTAATCGATAACACTTACCATATGTTAAAGGAATTTTACACAAAATTTAGGCAATAAAATGCAAGGAAAAATTATTTATTGTTTGAACATTAATATGAAAGAGGGAACAAAAGTACTGAATAAACTAAAATGAAATGGTAAATGAAGTATCACTTTTATCGAACTAGCAGTCGATACCTCATTTGTCGGAAAACTCATTCCTAGACCATTCTTCCCATTTACTGCGAAATGTCAATGGCTTGAAGAAACGTCAAGCGCAAAAGTTTTTTGTGAAGTTGCTCGCCTGAAAAGCCTGTACGACTTCGAAAGCCTCCCTACAAGAAAAGTGACAGTCATTTGATTAATAAAGTGTAACTCAATGGTGATGGAAATGTTCATCAAATACTCCCATCACGTTTTTAAGGCCCATGTGCAAAAAATTATGAAAAATAAATGTATATATGTGATTTTTATCTTCTTTGAGTAAAGTAGTCAATTTTCGATGGTTTCTTTTCGATTATTTTAAAATTAATCGGTTAATCGCTCGATTAATCGAAAGGAAAATTTCGTTACAATTAAATCGTTAGCCGAATGAACATACCCGATTATAAACGGTTATTCGATTAATCGTACCGTCACTAAAAAAAAATAGAATTTATTAATCAGGAAAAAATATTTAGCATTTAAATAATCACCTATTCGTTTATTATTAAAATAATTCACTTTTTTAAAAATGGCGTCATTATCCGGCGTCCGCGTAAATCTTTTCAACGAAAATTTCCTCAATGAGTCTGAGCAAGATGCCAATTCCGTGCTCACCGAATTGGATAAAGGTTTGCGTTCAACTAAGTTGGGTGTCCAATGTGAGGCGATTGTACGCTTTCCACGGCTCTTCGAAAAGTATCCCTTCCCAATATTGATAAATTCATCGTTCTTGAAATTAGCAGAATTCTTTTGGAATGGTTCAAATCTGTTGCGCTTCTGGGTGTTGCGCGTTTGCCAACAAAGTGAAAATCATCTGGATAAAATTCTAAACATCGACGCCTTCGTTAAGCGCATATTCATGGTAATACATTCGAATGATCCTGTGGCACGTGCATTAACTTTGCGTACATTGGGCGCTGTGTCACGCGTTATTCCCGAGAAACAACAAGTGCACCATGCCATACGACGAGCACTCGATAGTCACGATACCGTAGAAGTGGAAGCAGCAATCTATGCAAGTGGGCAATTCGCGGCACAATCTCGCTCCTTTGCAATTAGCATGTGTGCCAAAATTTCTGATATGATTGAATCACTACAAATACCAGTGCCTATGAAGCTGCAGCTCATACCAGTATTAAGGCACATGCATCACGACTCGAACACTTCAACGCTAGTGAAAGATCTTTGTCTAAATTTGCTACCAAAATACCCGGCTGAAAGCTTTGTTGTTGCTATTCTTGATTCACTCACACAACTTTCAGCGCGTACACTAACTGGTGTACCGGACCAAGTAAAACTGTTGTTGGACTTTCTGCAAGATAAACGGAAACCTGTACGGGCGCAGGTATTGAAATCACTTACGCAGCTAGCTGATCCTCAATGTGTTCATGCCTGGCCAAAGAAGGCTATGAGCGAACTTATAGCAAAAGCGCAGGCTTGTGAGGATTCCCGCGAACAATATCTCTATTTAAATATTTTGCTTAAACTGTGTGACTGCCCTCTAACATGTCATGTGTTGTTGCATGAGCAGCAAGAATCTGTAACGGAGCTTTGTCTAACGTGCATTTGCTTAGATGATTATGCCACAGCCAGTCAGGCGATGTCAATCTTAGCCGCGCTTATGACTTATTCTGGCGGCGATAAGGAGATTACATCCACTATTATTGCTATTATAAACATGCACATGGAGGGTCTAATTTTCTGTATGGTTGGTGATAAGGAAAATGAACTCGAATTGAAAAAACTACTCTGTTGTGGCATCAAAATAAGCAGCGTTAATCCTGAATTCGGCACCGATTTCGTAAATATGTTAGCTGACTTGATTACTGAAGAAATAGAATACCCGCCACGCAACGTAGAGATGATGTGCGAT